AATGGGGAAGGGGTAAGAAGCAGTAACCAGCAGGGACCTGGGGGAAGAAGCAGTAACATACCAGAGCACCTTGGGAATTCAGCATACTCTGTCTTCCAAACGTGCAGCTGAGTTGTTTGCCCTTGGCTGTGTTTTGTAGTTGCAGTATGTATATCAAAGCAAAGTGCATATAGTCATTGAGCGTTACTTGGAATGGCCTCCAGAAAAGGGAAGGTTTGGGGTGATTTCTGTCTTCCCTCCCATCTCCGCAACATATCTACTGCACAGCCTCCTGTAGTGCTTTTAACTTCTATAGGCTGAGCTTTTGGCATACTGGGGGCTCTAGCTAGTCGCCAAACTTCCTGCAGCCTTCTCTTTGTGTCCCTTATTAGGAGACCTTCCCTCTCTATTCATACCAATTCTTCTTTCTTCCTGTTGCTTCCATTCTCGCTCTGTGCTCCTTGCTAACCTCACTTCTAGCCTGTGGGCTGCCAAGACCCCTTCCTCTTTGAGAAGGAAAAATGTACTCCCTTCATTTCTCCTGTCAGGATTTTGGCTATCCTATCTTTACCCATGCCAAAGTCCCGCTTTCTCATTCTACTCTTTTCCTCCCTAGTATATATTGAAGGAAGAAGTCAGGCTGCAAACATGGTACATTTGTATGCAATGAGAACAGAACCAAGTACCTTGAGTGGAATGAATGTCTGATGATGAGAAAGTGGGTCTTGTTGAACAGGTTTGTTACAACAGATGGGCAGAATCACAGTTGAAATCCATGAGAGTGTTCAGTCTGAACTGTAGAGCAGTTTCTTTAACTGTAGGATACAATATTTCTGGCTCCTCTCCCTAATAAATGGGAGTTACCCCAGGATGTGCACAGTTTTATTTTTAAGTGCTTGGGAGAGCTGTATAGTAGCAATGCATCTAGTGCAGTCCAGCCAGCTGTACTGTGTCAGAATGTATACAATACAAAGCCAAGCATGAGCTAGGGGGAAGGTACAGCAGTGAGCAGCAGAGAAAATTGAAACCAAGCAGTTAGCAGGAAAATATTTTGAAATCGCATTTTCAAGCTCATTTCTGACTTTACTATGATTTTATTGAGTGGGAGAGCTCCCTGGATAGGCTGTTATGGGCAGATGGGTATGACAATGAGAAAGCAGAAGGTCATGACTAAGTCAACCAGCAAACTGCCTCGTGTATGCCGTCTGTCTGCATTGAGCTAACTCTGAAAGAATAGAGCATGCCTAGACCAGAGACATCTTATTTAGGGGTATGTACAACTACACAGTAAAATACAGCTGAAATCACTGTGTATCTTTACTACACAGTAAAATACAGCTGAAATCAAGGTTAAGAGAATGGTTACAGGCAGAACAAGTTGCAGCACTGACCAAAAGTCATTTAGTCACACTAGCATATGGTGCTATGATGAGGGAGTGAGATGACTTGTCTCTAATTGGTGCAGAGTGAAGGCAGAGGACCGTGGCTGCCCAGGCCCCTGCTGAGCCAGGCTCCAGCCGAGTTGGAACTCAGCTGGCTTCAGTGGTCCCTGCTGCCTGCAGGGACCTGCCCCACGCTCTTCTGGAGCATTGGGTCTGACTAGAGAAAGCAAGCAAAGGGTGGAAAAAAGGAAGTGCTACCATCTCTTTTTATAAAAAGAGGTACCGAGACTAAGAAAGATTGAGTGGGATTTCCAAGGTAATTTCTGTTATTTGTAATGTCTTATGCTCCAAAGTCATGTTAGGAAGTTATGGTTAGAAGGTTCCTCTGGTTTCAGCTGGGTGGTCATACAGTAAATGCAAAGCAGTGCCTGAGTCTTCTAGGACACAGCAGTCCTTTCAGTGCACAGTTGCCTCTCCTAAGAGTAATATTGCTTTGCCTGCCTCTATGCAATGCATGAAGTATCTGAGTAACTCTTTGATTGCATCAGTCCACTTTTTAATAAATCTCAAACTTTATAGCATTGCTTTCTAAATTCAGAAGTGTGTGGGCAGAGACAAACCTTGCTGTTGTACCTGGTAGTTGTGAGTAGACAGATTGCTCATAAAACAAAACCCTCAGCTAACTTTACAGGAAAGCGCAGGTTAGAAATGCATTATCAACAGCTGCTTGCTTCCTTCATTATACAGAACTTATGGTTCTGCTGCTAGAATGCAGCCAACCTCCAGGAAACCTTCAGTGTAGTGTTTTGGTTGGGCGCTGCTGCCACTGCTTGTCTTCCACGGACTTCAGCTGCAACTGCTGTGCGAGTGATCTGTATGCTTCTTCCATTCCCATGGGAATAGTTCAGTTTGGAAGTTGAAGCCACAAACATCCAGCTGGATGTGCAAACTCCCAACACTGAGGTAGGACCATATCAGTCAAATATTGCTGCAATCTGTTGCCATCCCAAGCAGGACCTTCAGGGCTTTTCCTACACTTGACTACCACTACTTGTGGCCATGCAAAAGCTGAGGCCTATGGTGGCTTGATTCCCAAGATGTTATGACTGAAGCTAGAAACGCTATCCCATCAGCTATTTTTAAAGAATAGTAGTAGTATTAGCAGTATAATAACTTACAGGGTGCATAGGAGGAAATGATCTGATTTTTTTTCCTGCATGTAACTTTGAGATTGTGTGTACAAGTCAGTAGAACATCATTCAGATGTGTTAACCAAAAATATTTGAGCAGAAACTTGAGAGAGATTATAGTGAACAAAGAATCTGTGTTTGTTTTTTCCTTTTTCATTTTGTAGTCTGATCCTGTCCCAAACGCTGAAATTCTCAGTTGACTAAGGACATGTTTTGGTTTGTAAAACATGGATCAGCTAACTTGCTTTGAGGCACTGTTTTGTTAAGCTTAAGTTTGCCCCATGGGAATGTGTGACATAGTGAGAAACCCTTTGAGGATTTTTCTTTTTGTTGATAAGCAAGCATAATGCACAAATAATATTCCTTCTTGTGGTTTTGTTTTTCTATGCCTGAAGTGACAATTTCTGCGTAGTGCTTTTGGCATTAGATGGTCAGGTGATAAAAGCTTTAGTTTTTCTTCTTTTAAGATCATTGTTTTTATTGTTGGCTTTGTAACAGAAATGCCTATCAGTTAGTGTGTCTCAGGGTCTTTGAGTACCATTGGCTGTTCCTGCCTCACTGAGCTTCTAGTCGAAATGAAGATCAGATGTAAAAGGATATAACAAACATGGGAGAAATGGATGAGAGGACAGGGGGTCCTGTGGGTTAGACTAGCAATACCACAATATCCAGAATGAGGTTGCATATATATATATATATGTATTGCTTTTAAACTGAATGTAATTAATTGTTTCAAATGGTTTGGTTGCCCTTTCATATTTTGGCACCAAACCCAACCACTGCAGAGAACTTTTGTTGATATGGGTTTAAAGAAGGGGCCTGCAGGGATAGACCCTGCAGGGTCCTGCCTTCTGCTGAAACCTTACAGAATAAAGATGCTCAGTGTAAGGGAACTGCTTCACTGTACGAATTTCCCTGAGTGCTTGCAAGAGTATGTCATTGTTAAATCATGAAAGAGCCCCACTCACCAACCGGCATCCCGTTTTGCTAGGTATTGTACAAACATTGCCCAGAAAGATGACCTATCCAAGAGAATTTAACTATTTGCTTTCTGGATCCCAACAGGTGAAACTGATTGACTACATCCACAGACAACGGCAGTGTAAGCTGAGCGTGCCCCTGAATGACAGGACAGCAGAGCTCAACAGCTACCCAAGATTCAATGACTGGTTAGACATTGTCAATGTGAGGAAAGAAGTTGTACAGGTAAGGGGAAGATAGCCCTCAGAACAGAGCCTTCCTGCCATTTCAAATCTGACCTTCCCAGCTGCGTGCTGGGTATAAATGTAGTTTCCTGAACTTACTTTCAGGCAAGGTAGGAGTGTGTGGGTATGAGTGTGGACCTTTGGTGGAGAGGGTGCTTCCTCTCTCCCAGAAGCAGCCATCACACAAAGGTAGTGGTGAAATACTCCCTTCCCTTTGTTCTCCTCCCAGAGTCAGTAGAGATCTTATAATAGCATGTGAAGTAAAGCTTCACACCTATTCCTCAGTATGAAACAGCAATCCGGCATTACCAAGACCTTCTCTCCTTCTGCCTGCTAGGTCCAAAAATGCCACCATAACTCATTCACTTACTAGGTTTTAGATCATAGTAAAACTGTACCATACTATCTTCTCTGTCCAGCACTAGCCCAAAAAGGGACCTGGAGTTAGAATTTTTACGCTGATGTACCGAACAAATGGACTAAAAAGTTAAGAGCTGTGAAAGCCTAAGAGTTTTCTTATTTCTGAAAAGTGTATGCCATAATTATAAATCAGTGAAGATCCAAAGACAGCTAGTGGCACTTCCTCTCTCTAAACTTAAGCCGACATAAGAGTGGTCAGAGTTTACAAGTTTGGCCCAAACTGATGGTTCAGAAACTCTAAGCGCACACAGCAATCAGATTACAAAAACGAATGGATTGTGCCCAGTATGCCCAGTAGTGCTCAGGTGGGAAGCTGTGGTCTGGATTTGGAGTGGGTGGAAGTCTTTGATCAGAAACAAATCGGTTTTCATTACATCTTCCCTGACTTGTGAGTAAAGTCTCTGGTTCAGACTGGTATCAAAAGAGCATTGCATCAGTATAAAAGGATGGAATGAATAACTCCCTTTGGTGTTCTGTGCGGTTGCAGGCACCAGATGTTCATGCTCGTAGACCGAGGCTCCTTCTGATCTTTACAAATTTTTTTTATGGTTTAATTCTTAACATGCAAATCACTCCTGACCACTGCAAGACTCTTTACTGCACAAAATAATCCGACTTCTGCTGGAATCAGAAGTAACCAGATAAACCAAGGAAGGCCTCCAGCTCCTCTTTCTGACACACTTTTAAAAGAAGAACCTGAGATAATGTCCATGTTTAGGTGGTTACTAGGAACTCCAGGATTGCAGGGCACTGACATCAGATTGTTCCCTGGGGTCTGGACTGTGCATGACTTATCCATGCTGTTCTGTACTGGGTGACTAGTCAGTTCAGTGTAACATTAATGGCAATGTAAGTAGTCCACTGATAGCTAAACAAAGCAGAAAGGGCTTTTTGCATTCTTTTTCCCGTTTTTGGCTCTGCAGACCAGGTCCCAGTGTTCTCTTTCAGTTTCCTTTGATCTTTCCAAAAGCAGAGATTTTCCTT